CAGAGCTCCGCGGGACGCGGGACTAATCCCGTCCCATCCCGTCCCATCCCGCCCAGGGACGGGACGGGACGATAAAATTGAAAATTTGGTGGGACGGGGTGGGACGGGACATGATTGTTCTCGGGACGGGACAGGACAGGACAAGACCGATTCACTTTGACGTCCCGTCTCATCTTTATGACGCAAGATTGTCACGCAATGTTTTCCACAGATCGCAGTTGGGCGACATCTATCATTTGAGAATATAAGAACAGCTGTTAAAAATGATCTGACTGGTTCTTTTTATACTATTCTATATTCAGATAATATAGCTTACTTATTTCTTTTTTTATTTCATTCTTTTATTTCATTGTTTATTTAATATCTTGTTATTTTCAGAAATTAGCAGTTTTTGTTTAAACAAACAAAAACATCATGTCTTCTCCTGAAATTTTATCACCGGTTTCCATATCACGTGTTGGAAATGCTAATTCTCCTGATTCGAATGCTTCTTTGGTCGAGTTATCGACCTCTTCTCCTCGTAATTCGGTTAAATTAAAGTCTACTCAAGTTCAATCGATGCTCAGAACAAATCCTTATAAATATACTATAATAGAAAATACCGGAAAGCGCAAGTCTGATTGTTGGTCTTCATTTGGTTTTCCTGCCATCATCAAGAAGAATAGTGATCCTCAGCGAATTAATGGCTTCGTGTCATGTAAAAAATGTTTTACCACTTATTCATTTATGTCAAATAGTACTCGAATGCTGAATCAGCATAATTGTGAAAGTTCAAAAGAAAGAAATATAATATTAGAAGCAAATGGAACCTCTCCAACACAAGGACGTTTAACTTCATTTTTTCGAACAAAACAAGCAAGCTTGAAAGAATCTGAAATTATGAAGATAAAAGATTTACAAGTTGAATGGATTTGTCGAAATATTCGTCCATTTTCAATCGTTGAAGACAATGGACTACGTCGATTGATTCAAGAATGTATATCAATCGGTGAGTATTTGATTGAAAATTTTAATACTCTCTGCTCATTCTTTCTTCTAAGGTGATCGTTATGGAAATATAAATGTAGATCAAGTGTTGAGAGGTGCCGATGTGACTGCTGCTCATAGTTCTAAACTTGCTGAAGATCATCGAGCTCGTATCAGCGAAGAACTACTTGAACCTCTTGAAAATGATGCTGTTACCTTCTGTCCCGATATGTGGAGTGATCCTGTTCATCAAGTTTCTTATCTAGGAATTACTGCTACGTTCGTCAATGACCAATTCGAATTTCGATCATATGATCTTTGTTGTTCTCCATTTGAAGAAGAAGACAAAACTGCTGAAAGTATCCTTGCAGTGAGTATCGTTTTCATTATAATAACACATGGGCTTATAATCATATCTTATAACTAATTAAACTCAACATAAGCATCAAAAATTACTTTTTAAATAAAAAATAATTTTCAATCAAGACATTGCATTCTGAATAAAAATTAATTTGTAATTAAAACACTATTTTTCCAATAAAAATTATTTTTTGATGCTTACGGTGCATGTAGTCAGTTATAAGAGTATCTTTTTCTCATCTCACTCGACTTATTTGTATTTCTTAGGCAATGCAAAAAGAATTAAAAAGATTTGGTATTTTTGATATATCTCTTCTGAAATTCGTGAGCGACCGAGGTCCAAACTTTGTCAAAGCACTCAAGGACTTCTCGACGTGTTTCTGTTTTGCTCATCGATTGAACAATATTTTGGTGCTATGCTTCTACCAAAGTGAGTCAGTTAAGATGCAGACAAGCTGTTCTTCTGATTTAACGGATGGAACTAAATGCAGTTCAGAAGATCAAGTCAATTGTTCTATTTTGGATGGTGATATTGATGAGATCGTGTTCTTTGATATATCAAAGACAAAAGTCAAGGATTTACCTAATTGTGCTCGAGAAGTTTTGAAAGTGTTGAACAATTGCAAAGACATCGTAAAATACGTGAAATTGGTGAATTAACGGAAGAAAAAATATTCATTAATTTTTATCATTTTTTTAGAACGGACTGAACAAGAATATCCAATCGGAAGGCGGAATTAGCCTCTGCCAATCAACCAAAGTTCGTTGGCTTTCGATTATGCAACTGCTAGAATCGATCGACCGCTCTTTCAAAGAAACAAAAAAAATTCTACAAGAGAAGAAGAAATCTTGTTTAATCGATCGATGGATTATTAAACGTCTGATTCATTTATTGCGTCCATTCAAGCACATAATGAAAATGATACAAAAAGGAAACGAACCATCATTATATTTAGTTCTTATTTGTGTAATGACTTTACGGAAAGCCTTAAGTTCCTTCGAAAATTTGATCAAGTTCAACAAAGAGCATGATCTGGTATCAATTAAAAGCGACAACGAAAATTGTGATGATGAATATGATTTTGAATCGGAAGAATCCGATGGTAAGTTTAATCACTATGGCAGATGAACCTTTTCATGAAAATTGAAAGAAAACTCTTTTCTTTTAGGTATTCGTTTCTTTCGACTTCGACTGCTCGAATTACTCGAGTCTATGTTTGTCTTGGAACCTATTCATTTTGCAGCAGCATTTTTGCATCCACGATACAGATATCTCCGCAAATGTTCAAATACTCAAATTAATGCTTGCAAAAGTTATGTCCGAAGGCATTTCAAAGAAATATCTGAACGTGAAAATTTAAAACGTGTGGCACTTGCTCGACAATCTGAACAAATAAGCGAGCAGAACGATTCTGCTGAGCCACCTCTCAAGAAAAAGAAAAGATTCGGTGAAGAATATGAATCAGGTGATCTGAGCGATGAATATGGTGAAACAGAAGATGAAGTCGACAAATATTTATCGATGCGCATTGATCCTGAACTGATCGTCGATAATCCTTTAGTATTTTGGAAGTTTCACCAGAAAAATTTGCCACTATTGTCGAAGTTGGCTCGAATGATTCATTGCATTCCAGCAACTACAGCAACAGTCGAACGGGAATTCAGCGGAGGTGGGCTCGTCATGTCTGAACGTCGGTCTTCAATCAATCCTCAAAATCTCAATAATATACTTTTTCTCAGGTCAGCTACTCGATGAGTAGCATTCGAAGTTGGATTTCTTATTGAATTTGCTCATTTTTTTTGTGATAAAAGTGTTGCTGTGTAAATCTTATTTTGAAAGATGATTAGTTAAATAAATGATTCAAACTGAAGATGACAGTATATATTTCTTGTACTTTTGCGAATTTCAGTTCGAGAATGAGGCGGGATGGGACAGGACGGGACGGGACAAGACAGCGCGGGACGCAGGACGGGATGGGATCCTGAAAGAAAAATGACCTGGGATGGGACAGGACGGGACAAGGAAGCGCGGGACATGGGACGGGGTGGGACGACATTTTTGTCGTCCCGCGGAGCTCTGG